ATTGTAATCGCGATTAGAAATTCGATTAATTGTGCAGCCCTACTGATAACCGATATGTCTGGTGTAAAAATGAAAATTAATGTCAAAATTAAGAGTAACAAGGGCTTTGACAAAAACTTTCTTTATATGCTTTTAAATTATTTTATCGGCAAATCGGTTTTTGAAAATGACCGATGACCATAAAAAAAGCTTAATATCAGTGGCGATAATCGGTCGACCCCTGTTGAGAACCTTAGTTTAAGTATGACTGGCTAATTAAAAACTTACCAGATTTATCGGTAGACCTGATTTTTGAGTAGAAATGTGATTATCACAGTTATTGAGCCTCTAGACTCTATTTCCCAGATTTTACTGTAGATTTTAGCTGATAGAAGAGGGCGCACAGGCAAAATCATTGTTTACAGTGAATACACCGTCTTTTGTGCGCTTGTAAGGATAACATTAAGTTTAGACGGTTACTGCTTCCTCAGATCAGTGTCTCGTATCCTCTGCCTAACAATACAGGTTTTTCCATTCGTCCGGTGTGCCTTAGTTTCCTTGTTGCTATTTTTACCCTCTCGGTGCATCAGTTTCTGTTACAGCTGTGTGTTTGTGAGAAGATCATCCATCAGAAGTTCACTTCATAAATCTGTGACTCTGTCCACGTTGTCTGTGTCTATCTCTGTCTTTATGTGTCTTGTTCTGTCTCAAGATCTTTGTTTCTCTTTCCCATTGACTTGTTTTTCCTGTGCATCCACGTCCTGTTTGTGTCATGTGACTGCAGGGCAGCCGTTAAGAAACTAACACACCTGCCCAGGTATGATGAATCAAAGTCAAACCCAACACATGACATCTGCCAGTCACTAACCACAGGTTTCCGGTGCTAATTGTCATGCGGTTGAGTGTTTAACAGTGTCAAGTCGTGCGCTCAGACGTGTTTTTGACCTGTCAATCACACAAGCCTCTTCCACTATGTGCTTGTTATTTAGGAGGAGTTACACGAGCTGTAAACTCACTCGAACGTCTTTCACTTTCTCAGTCAGTTTTACAGTCCGTCTCATGTTGAGTATTTGCTCTTTCTGTGCATTTCTCGCTCTTTTTCTTCCATCTGTCTCACTGTAATGCCTTCCTTCTCTCTTTCATGCTCCCTTTTAGTCCTTTTGCTGCTTGGTGAGTTTTCTGGTTTTATTTTTGTGTTATTATAATTAGTGGCAGGCCAGGCTGAAGTCGGTAGATATTGCATGTTTTTGCATGTTTTTTATAGTACATGTTGTGTAATAGCAGCTTAAGTAATATGTGTAAAATGCATTATTTGCGTAGCTGTAGATATCAATATTTGAGCTCCGTGTTGAAAACACAATATTGGTCAACCACTATCGGCTAATGCCAGCGCTGATGTGAAACTCAGGAATATGTCTAAAGTCCTTTTACTTTTTGTTCAGTCGTCAATCTCGTTAAATTCACCAACTTTCAGTTTTATTTTGCATCGTGCATCAAGTATGTTGCATGCATCCTTCCCTACGTCTTATTCCCTTGCTTTTTTCTGGTTCTCTGTCCTTTTCTCCTGCTCCCTGGTCCCCTAGTTATCCATTTCTTGTGGCATTGATTTTAATATCTCATTGTTTTTGTCTGTCTTAGGTTGAGCAGTTTGACGTTGGGAGACTCGGAGCGCAGGTCTTCTCCTGGCCAGCAGAGGGAGACGCTGTCTGATCTCCCCTCAGACAACGCAGGTCAAGCAGAGCTCTCATATGCAAATGACCATGATCACATGACTTGATGTTATTGAACGGTCCTCTGTTTGTTTCATAGGGACGGGTTTAGTCCAAAGATGTGTGGTTGTGCAAAGGGACAATCTGGGGTTTGGCTTCACCGTCTGTGGCGAGAGAATCAAACTAGTGCAGAATGTTCGGCCAGGTAATTAATACCTTTATTCGGCAAGGATGCATTAAATCGATCAAAGGTGGCAGGAAAGACATTTATAATGTCACAAAAGATTGCTGTTTTTACTTTATGCATCAGAAAATTCTTAAAATGTATCATGGTTTCCACAAAAAAAATATTTAACTGTTTCTAACTGAGATAATAATCAGAAATGTTTCTTGAGCAGCAGCATATTAGAATGA